GTATATTAATAGGTTAAATATGCCAGCTTTGGTATTGAAAACAGTTGTTATACTACAACAATGAAATCTTTTAAAACTGATTTATCTCAACTGCTATACTATTCCAATTTGTTAACGATTTAGAAGAGTAGATAGATTTTTAAAGCTTAAGATCTTTAAAATACTTGCAGATATGCCATTTAAAATATATGTACTTATATCTATCTATAATACAACATGAGTTAACCATTTATAGTATAGATATCGTCAGATTAGTAGATTTCATCTTAGTCTATGTTTGTTTGTTACTAACATGTGTTTTCTTTTGTCTGCAGTTTTAGCTACTAAAATGGGGATTATATATGAAGATTCATCAGTACAAATCACAGGTTAGTATATTTTCTCTCTTTCTTTTGTGATCTTTAGTTTAAGCACAAGTTAGTTTATATTTTGCAAAGAGTTTAGTATAAGGAGAAGCTTAGACTTTATTGCTTGATCTGAAAATAACTGAAAACTAAATAGCAAATAGCTAAAGGAAATAACTAAAGAAGTTTTGAAACTTGAACAAAAGAAAAAAATAGAAAACTAATTGCTACAGCCAAGCTCCCTACATTATTCCCAGCCAGCACAACTTAATTCTTGCCACCTTCAATCTCTTCCTTCTCAATGTCACCAAGAATGGAAGAGACACATGCCTTTTTAGTAGTAGAACCCTGACCTTCAATGTCCTCAGAAACAGCATCCATACTACGCTTAGATGAAGGAGTGGATGATGTAGGACCTAAAGGGTCAGTGGTTTCACTACTATTGGTCAGAGCAAGTCCTTCCTGTCAATGCAGAAAATCATGATAGTCAATATATAATAGATAATTCTTTCATATAACAAAGTCATTAAATTACATAGTTATAAGTATGCATAATTTATTCCCTGGCTTGAGTATAACTGATGGTACTCACTATTTAATTGAAACACGATCCAGCCCTTTAGTGATAAACTTGAATAACTTTTTGATAGATTGATTTTGGTTGCACCTACTAACATTACCTGATCAATAGAGAGGTCATTACGTTGGTCAGTCTGCTGGTCAGAATCTTCAACAGTATCTAGATTGTCAGATTCATTACCCAGCCAAACGGTTGAAACCTTGTAGGTATCATCAGTTTCATTGATGTTTTCCTTTCCAACAGTCACCAGAAACTGGAAAGTCTTTCCAACCAACTCTCTGATTTGCTGAGGCAAGTTTGTAGGATCCTGAATCTGTTATGATAGATTGAAAAAAGTATATAAGAGATTTGAATATTATGGTCTATATACATATTAACAACAAATTTGTTTACCTCATCCCACTTCCCTTCCAGCAAATCCTCTGCAGACACACCGATTATCTCTTGTGCACTTTTATCAAAGATAAGACATTTAGTGTCCCCAGTGTTATCCATCACTCCAACGTTTAAAAGATACCTACATATCAAGGGAACAGGAAAGTAGATTAGATACATAGTTATTATCTGACAAATGTAGATATATATTAGCAAATCTCAAAGTCTTACCTTGGTATCACCTTAGGAGTGTCTTCCTTACATGTTGGACACCAAAACATTTCTTTCTTACCTTTCTTGACAATCTCATTTTCTACCTTTGGAATCTTATAGGCAGTTTTGCTACACTTGAGGCAACTAAAGAAATACCAAGAATAGTCTGTGTCGATATTCATTATGGTACAAATTATGTTGCACTTTCCAGTCTAAACAAAAAAATAGATAATTAGTAGTATAGACAGAGAATTGAATAGTTGCTAGAAAAAAAGAATATTATCAAATACAAATACCTCAGAAAAACAAAAGAGTCCAGAGATGGTTTTCCTTGGAAAACGATCATAGTAATCCTTTTTTCTCTGTTCTGCATTCACTTGTTTTGCCTTCGAGTCTTCGATAGTCAGTGGCATAACATCAGGTGGTAAACTATTTTTAACAAATAAAGAAAATAAAATCAACTTTAGATAATATAAATATGATTCACAGTTATATATTAGCAAACAAAAAGTGACGTTTAGACATATCTCTTACTTGGCCACAAACTCAAGAACAGCAGGGTAGTTAGCATTGATTTCCAATAGAGACATATCAAATGAATTTGAAACAGCTCTCTCACCTAAAAACAGCATGATATTAGTATTAAACACATATGTTCTGATTTCATTTCGATTTCAAAATCATGCATTCAGAATCCAGAAACAAATTTATGTACCTTTAAATGAGTTGATCTTTGCAAGCCGAAGCAAACAAATCACTCTCTCAGTCCCTGCATTTTGACATGCATTATACATTGCCTCAGCAAATCTCCCCCAAAGAGTGCATTTCAGCCTTTCATCACTACAATATAACAAAAATTGTGAGAAAGTTTTAAGTTTAGATGTATGTAAGATTAAATAAAAAAGGTAGATATTGACTAAACTTACTTTGTGTCTCTGAGTTCACACTCAAGTCTCTTTGTGATCTTGTTGTTAACATCATGATTTTTCATTTCATTGAAACTAACAACCTGTCCAAGTACATCTGCAAAATAAGAGAGTAATAAATTAGATTTTCATGAAGAAGTTCCTATTATAATAGAAAAAGAAAATATACAATGGAAAGTAAGATAGATATAGTACCAATTAAGATGTTTTCACTCAATCCTGCTTCATTCAGGATATCTGGAAAGTTTGCCAGATCCAAATAAATGTCATCAGAAACAGCAGGAGTGCGACTTATCACAGTTTTTTCCATCATGGACATCTTGAAACCATGTTTCGTGGCTCGATACTTTCCTGTTGATTTGGTTAGTGTAAAATGCTCGATAATACGCCATTCTCCAGAAACTATGAGCCTTTGGAGTTTGCTCACTTGTGGCTTCTTAACAGTAGCATGAATCAAAGTACCATGCCAACAGATAAAAAGAACTCATGTTAATCATCCATTGATATTGATGATTGATAAACGTTTATTTGATTGAAAAATGATAGTTCTTATACTTACAGCTGTATCAGCAAGAACCATTTCAACTGTTTCCCCTGTGAATTGAGTGTATTGTGTCCACGAATGCACAATCTTAACTTGAATTTTCCAATGTGTTTTGAAGGGCTTAATGTCAGCAAGAGGGGTGAATGCTTGCACAGCTGCCATTTTCTTAGAGAAATACTGTAGTGGTAATGGTAATGCTTTGAAAGGTGAGTTCTGTCTACTGCACGTCCCTATATTTATAGTACTCGTATGGAGCCTTTAGTTTTATTAGGTTTTAGAGAATATAGGCCGTATAAGATAATTTGGGATTAGGATCTTAGAGGTATATGCTTGATTTAGGGAGATTTACTTGTTTGATATATCAATATCGAACTGAATATGGATATTGAAGAGATTGTGTGATTTTTAATACCAACTAATAAGGGAAATAGAATAAGTTAGAAATTCTATATCTTTTAATATAGAGAAATACAAATGATTGAGTTTTGCATTTAAAGAAATGTTTTTAAATTGGCATTGATAGTTTGTGTTGATATGGAAAGATCTTTGCGAGATTTGTGTCTAATTATCGAATAAGTTACAATACAGTATCTTTCAAATTAATATAGGGAAATAGGAATTACTAAGTTTTGCTTTTAATTTGCCGTCTACAATATATATTTTTACATTGGAATGAATTGTTTGCGGTGATATGGTAAGATTTTTGCGAGATTTGAGTGTAATTAATCAAAAAATTAATTGCTAACTTATTCCCGATTTAGAATAAGTAAAGAATATGCTTGATTTGTATTTTAGGAAGTGTAAATTATGAGATTTGTTAGTTAAGGCAATATACAGAGTAGTATAATTGATCCGGAATAATAGTTATGGTATTGTTTGATTTGTGTAGCTAATGATTTTATTTGGTATTATCTACTGCAGATTCGAAATATTGGAGTAGAAGTCTTAACAGGATGGGCCTAATTTTTCGTAAGCCCAATAGATATTTTAACAGATATATTCGGGTCAGATTTGTTTCAAAAGAAAGGACCCGACTTTAAGATCCGGGATCCGCGTCCCATATGCAGTAAATTTACAATATTACCCCTCCACGCAAATTTTTATTTTGTCTTTGAAATTTTAATTGTAATGGCATTCTCTTGTAATTATTTACACTTTGTAAGGTTATTTTTCATGTAATCCTTCCCAATTAATAGTATAGATTTCCAATTAGGTATCTGGTATCAATTTATTATACTCCCTCTGTTTCACAAAGAGTGTCGTTTTAGAGTTTTGCACACAGATTAAGAAAACATTAAATTTTTTGTTTTTTCTAAACAAAAACATCATTACCTATGTACTTAAACACAATCTGCCCAATAGTAAAACAATCTGCAGAATACTAATAGTCATAAAACATAAAAAATCATTAAATTTTGCATTGAAAACCTAAAACGACACTCTTTGTGAAACAAAAATAAAACCTTAAAACGATACTCTTTGTGAAACGGAGGGAGTAACTACCAATCTTGTTTACTTGCATTGTTACCCATATATTACATGATCCATAAAGTACATTGCTAATACTTGATAAAAAAAAAAATTACAACTACAACTATGTATATATTTAAGGTCTAAATATGCACTTCCCCAAATAAGGAGTTTTATACTATTTGACACGTATTGCGATCATTGAAAAATGCTCGATATTCGATAACATCTATAAATATTTTTATATATCATCAAATCTAGGAGACTACTTTCATCTGGATTTGGGTCTATCATACAAAAACTATTCCGCAAATAATGTAATCTCAATAGTAATAAACCTTAACCAACAATAGACAAATCTTTAAAAGGATAACTATTTAACTATAATATTGAAACCAATGTTAAATGATTGTCAAATGGCCCGTATAGCTCAGTGGTAGAGCGTCAGTCTTGTAAACTGAAGGTCCGTAGTTCGATCCTGCGTGTGGGCACTTTTTTATTTTTGTTTATAAATTACTCTCCAGCCGATGAAGCTATTGCGCAATTCTGGTTGACGCAGGCTCTCTCACTTGGAGAGACCTCAAGCTTATAAGCACCCCTCCTTAAGGTGCAATGGAGGTCACTATCTTAGGCCGCAGTTCTTCTTGATCAACCGTTGACCCCGTGCAGGTAAGTATCTTTCAACGTCCAACCTTCTTCTACTTTTGTAACTTTTATTGAAAGTGAGTCTAGACCCAAGCTCTCGATGTGGGATAACCAGTGAGTGACTCACAAAAATGGCGTGAGCAGAACTATAAAAGTGACTTAAACTTGATTACAGCAATACAACGATTTCAAACCAAACTTAAAAACAGAATTTCATTTCATCTGTAAAGCTATATACATGAGTCATGACTGAGCTTGAACCAAGTTACTAAGAAAAGAATCTAAAAGTTTAGAAAAACGCACATGGTCGATTGATAAATTTTGTTATTAAACCATATCTCTTTATCTGTAAGATTGTAACTTAGCAAAAGTATCTATGATTCTTTTTCACCGGTTAGGCTCAAGCTAAACTCCCATAGTTTCTTGGCTAAATCTTTGTCTTTACCCTGAGAATTAGGGTTGGATATGTTGTTGTCCATCAAGTATTCCCCACTCACTCCTTTTGCCTGCGGATGTAGCGCAGCATAACATGTAGTTGCCGCTCCCTGGAACAACAGTATCAAAAAACACAGATACAAACATGTGTGTGTGAGTGAGTTGAGACAGAATGATTAAATGCTTGAGCTTGGTGATGAACTTGGGAGGCAAATCAGATGAAAAAATGTCAAAAACCTGACCTGTGGAATACTCTTCAACACATACTTTCCCACCGCATTACCAATTGCTGCATCAAACAAGAGAAGTAATTCATGACATTATCGGTTGGTTCTCTGATGCATCTATTGTTGGATCATAATCATTCATTGACAAGCTTACTAGTTACTACGTTACAACATTGCGAAAATGTGTAGATTAAGACAGAGTTAACCTTATACTAGTTAATTACTTATACAGGATTAAACATCACCTAGGATATGAGTCAGAGTCAGGCTCAAACTAAATTTTTTACAAGGCGATGCAAGTTTTAGGATTGTTACTACAATCCGTTGTTTATCCAGTGTCAGTCCAATATGCAGTATTAGATAAACAAAGGAAACTCAGAAATGAAGTACAATGAGAAAACAAATTTTACTATTTATGAAGCTGTGGTAGCGCAAAAGATTGGTCATAATGGATCCAGGATGAAGTGAATTAGCAGTTATATTCACACCTTGTTCCTGTTTTAAGCAAAACAAAGATGAACCAAACTTAACTCCTCTAGCTTTCTTTTTGGCCTTTGGAATTGATATAAAATTTTAGGAAATCACCCGCGAAATGCTATCTTACCTTGAATTGCCTAGCGAGCTCAGTTGCGTGCAATATGTTACAGAGCTTTGACTGACCATATGCTTGCAAAGTATTGTAACTGTTAAGACACAGTGAGAGCAATAATCGTATGTTGTTAGTTTGTTACAAATTCAAATTAAAAGTAATGAACAATACTATTAGATAACAATCACCTTGCTTCATCATTTATTTTGTCAAACCGAACACCTTCCCCGTAAGCAAATCGATGACCTTCTGACGAGACAATAACAATTCTTCCTTCTCTATTGCTTTCATTAGCTGTTTTCTTCATTGTCTCCAAAAGAATGTTTGTCAGCAGAAAATGACCTGAAAATTCGTATAAAACATAAACCTTCTAAGTAACACAGAAAAATGTTCCTTATCATACTTTAAACATCGTATGTTAACATGTGAAATAGCGGCAACAAAAAAAAGTTCTACAGCAAAAAATGAAGGATCATGTGTTCTTCAAAATTAAACATACCCAAATGATTGGTTGCAAACTGTAATTCAATGTTGTCGCTAGAGAGCATGAAGGGACATGCCATAATCCCTGCATTATTGCTACAAAAACAAGAACAAAGATTAAGCCGACTAACACGTACTAACATTCACTAATCCAGCAATTACTGAAACAAAGTATAAAATTAGAGACTTTACATGAGAAGATTTAAGGGAAGGTCCAAAGACTTGTATTCTGATGCAAAGCTCCTGACAGAAGCCATAGAGCTAAGATCTAACTTCATTACATCAATCTTAGCCTGAGGTGTTTCCTTAAGTATCTTTTCTCTAACTTGATTACCAGAATCCGTATTCCTTACCGCCATTACAACATGAACACCACGAAGAGCAAGAACACGGGTAGTCTCTTCCCCAATACCACTTGATGCTCCTGAAATCAAATAAAACCGATACATCAAGAATCAGCAAAAAAAATCTTCTCTTTTGCTTCAAGATATGTTCTTAACAAGCCTGATTGAAATATTCTGATAAAAGTTTAATCCTTTCGTCCATTAACAGATACCAACAACAACTTGAGTTCATGGGCAGAATCAAAACCCATAAACTAAACTGTGGATCATAAAAAGTTGAATAACATCTGCAAGAAGAAGAAGACCTGTGACGATAGCTGTGAGACCAGTACCATCGATTCCATGAGTGACTTCTTCAGCTGTGGAACGAGCTGAGAACCCAGATGCTCCTTTCCACCAAAAAGGCCACATTTTGATGTTGTTTTGTCTTCCCTAATCTTTTTTACCAAAATTGAAAAATCTAATCTCAAACCTAACCCTAGCTGATGATCGCACACTCTGTTCTCAAATCAAGGCATAAAATCTTGTATAAACTACAGTTTCATTTGTTTTGTTCCTTAATCCAAAATAAGAATAAAGATGCTGTATTTTATTATTTCTATATTTGATACAGATGTTGTTAAATGTGAAATTTGGTTTTGTATAATGTTCTAAACATTACATTAAACTAATAAAATAAGCAATGCATGGAAAAGAAGCTGATCGATGTCAAAGGTTTTTACAGCAGAAAGTTGGAAATAAATTAGACAAACAAAGATCCAACCAAAGAAGGAAATAGCAACTCTCTCTTGGTGTTGTGTAGAGCAAAAAACGAGTCAAACATGTTTTAAAATCTTTCATAAAACATATAAAAGATGAGCAATCTTCAAAAGAAGAAGAGACAGGTTTGGGCTAAAGAAGAGTGCTATGATGTTGAAAATCCAGAGATATAACCTTTCATTCATTCCCATGGAGATTGAGACCAAAAAAATTATTATTACTCAACGCTGTGTTGGCCTGGGCCTGGAGCTTCCAAATGCAGATCGGCGTTCATCACTGCCTCTAGGACCAGAACCCCAACGGTCTCCTCCTTCAGCTGGAGGAGCTCTGTCCCTGCCACTAGTCCACCGGTCAGTATTCTGAGCCGGTCCTCTACTGTTTCCCCAGTGGTCATCTCCTGGAGGCAGTCCACGGTTGGGCCAGCGGTCAGTTTCTGATGGTGTTGGTGCTGCTGTTGGTGCTGATGGGCCTGAGACCTCAGTAGTCTGGCGCTTCCACTTAGGAACATATTTGGCCGGACCTGATGCTGCTGCTGCTGCTGGTGCTGTAGCAGCAGGGGCGGCAGTTCCAGTAGGAGTAACTGTAGGCTCTGCAAGGCGAGCAGGTGGTGCATTAGTTCCTTTCAATGCAGCTTCTCGTTCCAGCCTTCCTTTCTCCTCCACCTCTCTCTCTCTCTGCCTTTGCTTCTCAGCAATTTCATCCAACTTTGCTTTGCGTTCAGCTTGTTCCTTCTTGAGCCTCTCAGCTTCTACGTTAGGGGAAAACACAAAATTTAAACAGAAACAAGAGGTAATATTAGAAAAACTTCAACATCAATGTCAAAATGATGTGGATTTATGAAAGCAAGTCCACACCTTCCCGCTTGCGAGCTTCCTCTTCTTCCTGCAGCTTCCTAATTCTTTCTTCTTCAATTGTCAAATAATATATCTGCTTTCTCTTAATATCCCTTTCTTGCTTCCTGGCTCGAATTATTTGGCTGATACGCTCCTCTCTCTCCGTCCTTATTCTGTCAAACTCTGCTTGGCGACGACTAATCACTTGTGCTTGGAATATTTCCTGGACACAGAAAGATTCGATTATACAAGTCGACTGGAAAGAAAAGTTACAGGAAAAAATGAAGAAACTAGAGCTTTCAAATTAATTCAATAACGAAAAGAGATACACATCAAGATGAACACTCAGAGAAACAACATAACATGTCAAAAACTGACCTTATTACCCAACATTCTGGACAACCTGTTTTTCTCCTTCAAGTCACTCTCATGACGCTCTTTACTGAGTTCAACTTCACGCTGCATAGGAGAAGAGCTTTTAAGGACCTCATATACTTCCAACTAAGAACCAAGTTGTAAGAAAATAAAACTACTGAAACGGTAAGGTTTTACCTGTTGCTCGCGCTCATAAAACTCTCTTTCCTCTACCAGTCTTCGCTGATATGCAGCTTCAATCAATGGAGCAGCCTCTTCTCTCTTTGCTCTTTCCAAATAATCCATAGTTTTGGCAAGTTTTTGGAGTTTCTTCTCCATTTCTTGCCTTTCCTTGAGCTGCTCAGTTAAGACCCTCTCCTTCACAGTTTGCTTTGTCACTTTCTCCTACATTAAGTTTAACCCAACCAATGTTAGTAATACGCAAATCAGTGAACTATAATAGCTAACATATTGTATAAATAAACTTACTCCATCTAAAAACGGCTTCTTCTTTCCCTTTTTCATGCGCTTCTCTGTGTCCTCCAGCAAAGCCTGAGCTTCTTCAAGCTCTTTCTCCTCTATCTCCCTAAGGATTCTTTGTTTCCTTCTCTCTGCAAGCTCTGCTGCAAGTCTCTTCTGTTCTGCCTCCTCAGTTAGCTTCTGTAGCTTAAGCCGTTTCTGCTCCTCTTCACGTTCCTTCAAAAGTAAACATCAAATCAAGGAATAGTCAAAACAGGCACAGCATAAAAGGAGAGGAGTGAAAACAACCATGGAAAAAGTAAACTACCATTTCTAGTTGCTGACGCTCTTGATCCTCCTTCCTCTTTTCAATGATTGATTTACGAGCAAGCAGTCTTTTGTGCTCTTTCTCAACAGTATCTGCTAAATTTGGTATTATGCCAGCTAGTTTTGATGCTTTACTTGGGACAGGATACAGCATAGCTCTTACTTTGCTCAAAGACTCGGCAAAAACAGCCAGATGATCCCTCAGTCCATCAGACTCAATAC